CCGGCTCCAGGCCCGACTCCCGGGCCGCCAGCCACGTAGCCCAACCTCGGTGGCGGTCGCGGGGCTAGAAGAGCGTCGGTGGGCTGAGCAGTCCGCTTCCCGGCCTGGCTAGGCGTCTTCTCGGGACACCGGGAATGGTGGTAGCACTTAGGGTGTAGAAGACTGAGAGAAACACAAGGGAAGTGCGCTACTGCTAGTTGCAGCGACCGGTTTCCTCACGAGGGGATCGCCTAAGAAACGTGGGAACGGCTGTGACCAGCAGGCGGCGCGGTGACTGCATAGCGTGCGGTTGGTCAGAGGCTGTTTTTCAAGCGCAAGCAAGACTTGAGTGCGAGTCATTGGACTGGGCAGTAGGTACGTAAAACAAAGCAGAAACAGTGTTGGCACTGACAGAGCTTACATATTACTGCAAGAGACCAGCAGTGTAGATGTGAATATACATAAAATGCTAGGCAAAAACTTGAGGGTTTTTTGAGTGGGTCATCACTGAAGAAGTCAAACCTTGAGCCCAGAAAGGTATAATAGAGAGCCAGTCAGGGGCCGGGGATGTAGCTCAGTGGCGGCACACCTCCCTTAACAAGCGCAAGGTCCTGAGTTCGATCCCCGGTACCGAGGGGCAGGAGGGAGTAAAGAGCCAGTCATGAAGAGTGAAAAGAAGAGTATTGAGACGGTAGTGAATGTAATTTGCAAAAGTTCTATCGTGGAAGAAATAAGGAGAAAAGTAGCGAGAGATGAAGTTGAAATGGTAGGCTGAGCTTGAGTTTTTTCTGAATATGATAGATCATTGAAAGATTTTGTGCATGGAATGCCACAATCTGTTCTTTATTTTATAACTTTACTCTTGCTTTATTTTATAACTTAACGATTTTGATGATGGCATGAGTAGCAAGGAGACAACCAGTGGGAGACTATTGCAATAGTCCAGGTGAGATATGCCAGCACCTTCAAATAAGCTGGTAGCAGTGGAGAAAGAGAAAAATAGACAGACTACGAAGCATTTTGGAGTTAAAATTAGGAAGATTGAGTGATGGATCAGAAAAGGATGATGAGGGAGAAGGAGTGACCAAGGGTGATTTTCAGGTCTGGGGGCTGCATACTTGGGTGAATAGTGGTGCCATTTACCAAAATGAAAAGTGGAGGGAAAACAGAATAGTGTGGGAAGAGATGTTGAAATAGAGAGTTCCATTTTAGACACACTATCTTATATCTTTGCTATGTCCAAAAAGAGCTAGTTAACAAGTGCATATAAGAACTTGGTGCTCAGATGAGAGATTCCTTTTTTTTTTTTTTTTGTACCGGGGGTCGAACTGTGATCCTTGCGCTTGCGAGGCAGGCCACTGAACCACTGAGCTAAATCCCTGGCTGAGAGATTCTTGATAGTGTTATAAATATGGGAGTTGTCAGCATATAGAAAATATTTAAAGCCAAGGAAATAGAATCTCTGAGAAATTATCTGGCTTTATGGTTATCACCTTTGGGCCTGAGGCAATCAGTGTGGTTAAATATTGTTTGGGGTTTAAAAAATTAGATCTCAGTAACTGCTAAATGAACTGTCCTTACAGGTCTTATACTTGTCACTCTTGTTTCTGTTGTCTTGAAATGCCCTGCCTCATGATAGACAGAAAAAAATATCTCATATCCACAGATCTCTCTGGATCTGATCCTTAAACTTGCTAGTTTCTGTTTTCAGTGGGCCAAGAGCCATGTCAGTTTTCTGCCACCTACAGGACCGACTATGAAGCTGACGGAACTTGAGCGGCCAGCTGTCCGAGTGTGGAGCCCAGCCAGCCAGCACCCTGTGTCTGGGGCCACAGGTATGGTGATACTAGAAGTACATAGGTTGTGGGGTGTCTTAGCAGTTAAAATTAATTATCGAGTATCCAAGCATTTGGATCATAGAAAGATGGTTGCACTTCACAGCCTAAACTAGGGGGTAGTGGGTTTTAGGTACCTGGGACCAGCCTTGGACTATGGTTCAAGTCTAGGGGTCTCCTTCCCCTTTCTACTCCCCCTTCCCATTCTCCCTGTCCTCTCCCTCCCTCTCCTTTACTCCCTCCCTTTCTCTTGGAGTTACCCTTTGAAAAGGAAAGGAATATACTCAACTCTCTTCTCATCTTCCTCTTCACTCTCTAACCCATTTATACCTGCATATATTGTTGCTCATGTGCTACTGCTTGACTTTTTCTTGTGCCTAGGAACATCTTCCCAGCAGCTAGATGTCTCTTTTAGCACAAAAGGCACATTGGAAATCTATGAGGTTGATTTCAGGGACCCTTCTCTGGACTTGAAACACAAAGGAGTCCTTTCTGCCTCAAGCAGGTACTCTGGACTATTGATGGGTATGCAGGGCAGAGCTTGTTGAAAATACTGATGAGGAATCCTAGGAATAGCATGTGTACAGGAAGAGACAAGTGAGGGGAGAAGGAGCTCCAACAAGTAGGAAACGAGTTAATTTGGGGCTTATTTTGCAAAAGGATTTAAAAATTACCCCACATTTCTACTACTACTGGTTGGCAGCAATAGCAAAGTCTGACGCTGACTGTGTGTAATAGAGCTCATGTATGCATTTGATTTCTCTTTGCACTAGAGATGTTGCCTCTTGCCCCCCTTAGCTCTTTCCTTTGTATAAAGTGAAGCTAACAACGTTATACAGTATTGCCCTTTTCTGCCAACGAGGAGGAGAACAAATGATCCTCTTCTCATTGTTGAGGCATTATTTGGGTGCTCATGGATTTCATGGCTCTGGCAGGCTGGGTACTCTGGATTTCAGTGTGATACTGTGTAACAGCAATGAGGACACAATTGTTCATTCTCTTTCTTGTTAGTAGAAAAATCTAGAAGATGTTGCAGGCCTTGATAGCCCAGGTACTGTTGTTTAGTGAATATTTATGTGTATGCCAGACAGTATGCTAAGGGTCCTGTATGTTTTATTCATTCCTCAAAATAAACTGGAGTGACGGTACCATTATTCCCATTTTACGTAGGAGGGAATTGAAAGTCTTGAGTCCAAAGCTTCCTTCTTTCCATTCCATTGCCTTTTAAAAGATTTTTTTGTTGTTGTTGTTTTGGTGCCGGGGATTGAATTCAGGACCTTGTGCTTTTGAGGCAGGTGTGGCACCACTGAGCTAAATCCCCAGCTTTTAAAAGATTTTTTAAAGGTGGGACTTAGTCTGAAGTGATGGTCTGTAGATATTTACATCATTAGACAAAATATGAATATGCATTATACTCATATTCAGTACAATACACATGTATTGCTATACTATTAATAAAGTGTATTTTCTATATTTTTCAGATTGAATATATGCATCTTTTTCCTACAGTCCAGTGAATAATCTTGTCAATGATCCTACTTTAGAGATAACTGGGCTAGAAGGCAGCCTTCTATCAGATGATCGATGAACACTTTTTTTTTTTTTTTTTTTTTTTTTTTCTTTTGTGGTACCAGGGATTGAACTCAGTACCTTGTGCTTGCAAGGCAAGCACAGTGCTGGCTGCTGAGCTAAATCCCCAGCCCTCCTTGTATCTTTCTTGGTCCCTCTGAGAGATTAAATATTTAAATAGAATCACTCTTTTTTCTTTTCAGGGTTTAACCTAATAGTGAAGGGTAGATTTGCCTGCTTTTGAGCCCATGTATTGCTTTATGACAGCCTCCCTTATTTTGCAGTGTTTTACATCTCTTTGAACTTTCAGTTGTGTTGGGGATAGCCTTGGTCAGTAGATCTGTGACTTCGTGTAAGTTAAGTCAGTTGTCTTAAGTTTTGCATGTATAAAGAAGTCATAGAAAATGACTTCTAAGAACCTGCTGAGACCCAGATTCAGGTCTTACATTCGTTGTCTGTCCTCCCTTTTCCTTTGTAGTCTCAGTTCTTTTCCTTTGTTTTTCTTTTAACCTCTTTCTATGCCTCTTCATTGGTAGCTACATATGCTTTTCAAAATCATCCCCTTTCCTCTGCCACCTTTTTCACCAAACCCATGCCTCAACCAATCGTTATTCCACAATGCCATATTGTCTCCATTACTGCGTCATTGTCCTTGGAACCCCTCTAGCAAAGAATTCCACCTCTAATCTTATGTTTAAAATAAATTCCTGCCAGGTACGATGGTGCATGCCTATAATCCCAGAATTTGGGAGGCAGAGGCAGGAGGATCACTGTGAGTTTGAAGCCAGCCTGGGCTATGTAGTGAGTTCAAGGTTAGCCTGAAGTACAGAGTGAGACACTGCTTCAAAAAACCACACTTATGGGCTGGGGATTTAGCTCAGTGGTTCCACTGCAAGGTCCCAAGTTTGATCCCTGGTACCAAAACAAAACAAAACAAAACAACCCAAATAAAACCCACACTTACACACACACACACACACACACACACACACACACACACAAATGCCCTCCTTCCTCAAACTCTTAAGTTTTTTTCCTATACCTTTTCCCTAAATCTCTCTGTCCTTATTTTTAGTATAAAGTCCTTTTTTTTTTTTTTCTTTTTTTTTTGGTACTAGAGATTATCCTAGGGCCTTGCATGGAGCTATGTGTCCAGGCCTTTTTTGTGTTGAATTCTTGCTGAGTATCTAAATTTCTCAGGAGGAACTTGAACTTTCCATCCTCCTGCCTCAACTTCCCATAGTGCTAGGATTATAGGCATGTGCCACTGTGAAGTTTAAATTTTTAAAAAGTAAGGTTAAAATACCACCAAACAAAAAGCTGGTCGCAGTGGTGCACATTTGTATTTATAGCATTCTGGGAGGCTGAGGCAGGAGGGATTGCAAGTTCAAGTCCTGGACAACTTAGCAAGACCCTCTCTCAAAAAATAATTTTTGAAAAAGGTTTCAGGATATACCTCAGCGGTAGAAAACCCCTGGGTTTGATCCCACAGTACCACAAAAAAAAAAAAAAAGAAATTATGAAAGATTACATGTGCCCTTCACTTAGATACATCGTTTCTCAACGTTTTGTTGTGTTACTCTCCTCTCTGTATGTCCCCAATGGTTGGCCCCCAGTTTTTGTCCATTTGCAGGCCAGAGATGGTTGCACTCCTTGAGCTCACTGGATGATAGCAAAGTCTGTTATGGTTTTGGATCTAAAATGGCCCTCAGAGCCTCATGTGATTGGGAGGTGACTGAGTCATGCGGGCTCATAGCTGACTGCTGTTAGGAGGTGGGTTCTGGTTGGAACAAGTGGGTCATGGGGGTATGACCTTGAAGGGTCGCTCCCCCTTCCCAGCTCTCCCTCACCTCTCTATTTCCAGACTTCCATACCCCTGTACCACACTGTCCTGCCTTGGAGCCAGCTAACTAGGGACTGAAATGTGAGCCAAAATAAACCTCTGCTTCTTGTAGTTGCAGGTGTTTGGAATTTTATCCCAGCAATGAGAATAGTGACTAAGACAGTGTCCTCCCTTGCTTAACTCAAGCCAGTGTTTCTACTTTTGGTGTTCCCTATCATAGCTTCTACAGGTGCCAGCTTCCTCCTCATAAGTGAGATGATGAGTAACAGAAATGTACTTTCTTCATGCAGATAGAAAGAAAGCCATTTTGTCATGCCTGATGTTCTGCAGCTCAGTCCCTCTGATGCCGTCATCTGTAACCCATCTCAGGGGCTTGGTTCTGGGTACATACCCTGTGCTCTGACCATACTAGGTCAGTCTGCCCTCTCCATTTCTGTGAGTGTTGTTTCTGGCTGTATCCTCCTCTGGTTCCTGTGTGACCTGTCATGAGCTTCTCTGGTTACTCTGATGGCTTGCCCTCTGCTGTCACCCTGAGTGACATGGAAGCCTCTTGAGCCAGTCTGGACACATTCTTCTGCCACGTGAAGCATCTGTGACCTTAGAAAGTGACCTTTTGGGTGTAGCCTTGGAGCTTCCATTGTCAGCTATGCCCTTCTCCTTTAGATGCTAGCCCTTCTCTGAACTGGTGCTCAGCTCTGCAGTCCTGGCAGGTTGACTCTGCTTGGATGCCTGACAAACAGGTTCCTGCTTGATCACCCCACTCAAGTTCTTTGCTGTTGCCAGGGTGTGGGACTATTTCATTGCCCTTAGGAATCTTGTGACATCGTGTGGTATGAAATCTGGCTTCTCTGGAGGGCTGTGGAAATATCTTTGGCTAGCAGCTGTGTGGTGAGCGACAGACTCCCACTGTTAGGCTTTAGGGAGCTCACATACTTGTCTTTGCAGGGGACCTAAATCCCCCTGCAGGGGAACCAATATCAGTCTTTTTTTTTTAATGCATGTCTTTTTGGGACATCCTCAGATGCCAGAAAAATGTTTCCCCATTGGGGCATTTATCATTTTATGTCTTTGTCTCTAAGGCTGGCCCATGACAGCCACATGGGAGAGAGGTGTGGCAGGGAGGCCCTGTTTTATTTTTTCCCTCATTCCAGTTTGAGAGAGAAAGGGACAGTAATTGTTAGCCTATGGGGCCTGCTTCTTACCAGTTAACAGTAAAATTTGGATCTTTATATCAATGGGAAGCAGTATTGTAAGATGTAAACTTAGGCTCTGCAGTAAGACTGGCCTGACTTTGAACCTCAACTCTGCCACTTCGTAGCTCTAAGATGAGGGTGAAATTACTAGCTCTGTGTGTAAAACTTTTGTAGCTTCTCTGAGCTATTTCCTTAGATGACAATGAGAATAATAGTTGTATCTCAGACAGTTGTTAAATATTAAATCAGCTAATCCATGCAAAGCACTCAGAACAATGCATGGTACATAATGAGTACTGTTATCCGGAAGTGTAGGTGGTTGTTACTATTACCTATTAGACTTGTGAAGGTTAATTATTTGAAGTAGTGATCACAGATCCTCTATAACCTCAATATTAAAAATTTTTTTTAGAAAAACACTCCTACACAACTCAGAGCCATGGCTTCCTGGGTTTTGTGTACTGTAGATGGAATATTCTTTCAGGAAAGGGCAGGCCCAGACAAGAAACCTCTCTTGCTGCTTGGGAAATGAAAGAAACAGGCAGGTCCCAGCATGGGGTGGGGATAACCACGTGGTGGCAGAGGCTGACAAATATACCTGTCCTCTGCTTGTGACATAGATCTAAGATTGTACTGATGCCAGTTCCCCCTTTTTGTAGGTTTCACAAGCTGATTTCGAGAAGCTTTGGCAATGGGCTTCTGGAAAGCTCCGGGGTTATTGCAGGCGGCAGAGATAATGGCACGCTTACTCTATACAACGTGACTCACACCCTGTCTTCAGGAAAGGAGCCTGTGATTGCCCAGAAACAGAAACACACAGGCCTTGACTTCAGTCCTTTCCAGGTACTACATTTTAGTTCATCAAATATAATCAAGCAAGGGAAGAGTAGGTCTGAATGGAAGTATTCACTTGTGACCTCTGAACCTTTTCCAGCTCTAGCAGGGAGGCTTTGAATATCCCAAATGTGGGCCTCTTTACCTCTTTCCTGATCACATCCCTTTCTGGGACAGTGCCTCCAAATGCCGTTTATTCATACAGGGCAACCTCCTGGCCTCAGGGGCCAGTGATTCTGAAATCTTCATTTGGGAATTGAGTAACCTGAGTGTTGCAGTGACTCTAGGATCCAAGTTACAGGTAAGGACTGCCCTTCCCCCAACTTGGGCTGCTGCTTAAAGTGTGTAGCTGATTTTCCCAGGTGAAGTTTTGAATTCTGAAGCTGGTGAAAGCACAAGAGATTTTGGGATTTACCACTGGAGGGCAATACAACTTCACAGATTAACATGCTACTAGCCAGATTAGAACTGGGACAGAGGTTGTGTCAGGCTGTGTGTAGAATGCTTGGTTTGTGGTCCTTGGCTGGTCTGAGTTTCTGGGAGGAAGATAAAAGGCAAGGGAAACAAAAGCCAACTAGAAAGGAATGGGAGTGCTACTGTCACATGTAGGTTGGTCAGGGTTGTGACCAGCCCTGGGCTCAGTGGACCTGAATGCTGGCTTGTCCTCTATGTGGGAAGGGTGAATGTTATCTTCTATGCATTTGGGGTCTGGTACGTATTCTGAGTGTGCCTTTCTGTCTGTCT